GCATCAGTCACTATCTCTGTGCAGCCACTCCTCTGTGCTTCAGAAACCAGAAACCCAAGAGAAACAATAAAAACCAAAACTCAAATAAAGTGGTAAGGATAAAATAATAATAATATAAAGTTAAAAGTACAAATAATGAGTAAGAAAGAAAAGGCCACCCTCGATATTTAAAAAGCCAGGGAAGAAACGTTTGTCATGGAACATGCAAAAACAGACTTGCACCTAGAACAAATTTAGGTTGGGTCAATAGGGAGATCAACTGACGTAGTATCCAGTCGAACCAGAATAATCAAGATTACCATGATGTCCGTCTGATAGTAAGGCTGTTCGAGACCCTTGTTTGTGGCCAACGGGGTCTGCCAGGGGCTTAATCTAACTCCTCACTCTACAGATGGATTTGGGCCGCCTACTGTCCTCCACAGCCTTCTGCCAATTGGGTGTTCATATTTCAGCTGATACATTTCCCTTTGTTATATTTGAGGTTTTTGTTACTATCATGTTTGGATCACACAAGCTGGTGTGCTTCTTCCATGTGGACTTAGTTGATTCCTCGCTTAGATGGCTGCTGGTTTGAATACAAGGCTTTACGACCCCAAACACTATTCTGATTCATAGCCCGACACCATCTCCTTTCTTCACCACACTTTGCTGTGGCACCCTTATCATCCGTGATCATTTCATGAAGTTCGTGTTGAGCAGGGCCATGTTATAAGAACTAACTGTTCTTGGATTGGGGCTAGAATTAAGTGGGAGGCCAGACTCCATCTGTATGTTTATGGGATATTCACAGCTCAGGGTTGCTTTGGCGGTTGTATTATAGCAAAATCAAAACCCCGTAAGACCAACTACACCACTAACAGGAACAAACCAAACAAACATCAAACAGAAAAACAAAACAAAACACAAAAAAACAAGCCAAAGTCAGGAAAACAAAAACCCATAGAAACAAAGAAGTACAGCTTTGTCCATCATCCCCCTGGGGTATAAGGTGACTGCACTGATAACCTCATCAGTTTTCCCAAGGACACAGCACTCCGGACACTGTCGGAGCCTACGTGAGAACATTTCCACCTTGAGTGGTTGCCCTACACAGCTGGATCTCCCATTCGATTGTGCTCTGTTTGACTGGGGATTGGTGCCAGGGGAGACCTTCCTGGATCAAGTCTCCCAGCAGATCGAAACCTGCCATGTCACTGCAAGGTGGGCATCAAGGTACTAAATATCTGGTGATTCTGGTCCCTTTCCACTGGACACCTACCAAGCCAGGGGTTCCCCACAAGGTCCAATGACCACCACTTCCACGGTCCCTAGTCGGCACTCTCTGCTTCCTGTCCCATCCAAGTACCCCAGTCCTCAGTCCAAGTGTGCAGGCAACTTGGAGGCAGGGCTCAGTTCATTCAGCTGGGTCTCGATGTTAGTCCTACTCATGTAGCCCCTGCGTTGTGTCATGCTGCCTGCACGGTCAGCTTCCACGGTCATCGCGGTGCTCAGTCCATGGTGTGGTTCACCCACGGTTGAGTAGAAATGTATTTGTAGTGTCTACCCAGGAACATAAAATCTGTCCCCCTAGGTTCCCTACCATTATTGTTTAGCATCCCTTCCCGATGTGAGATTACTTCTCCCCTGTCACTCAGAGATTACTTCTCCCCTGTCACTCACCAACAAAACTGTCAGTGTCTCCTCCAAACTCTAGATGGTCCCTTCCCCTGATCTGAGCTTGATTTTCTGGAATGGAAGAATCTTTTTCCATTCCTGGGGGGGCCCGTTGATTTGCCCCACCCTTGTCTCAAGGCTGGAGACGATAACTCTTTATGGAAGTAGGAAGCCCTGTCTTCCTCCTTCGGAAAGGAT